AATCCGCCAAACCAGAAGTGATTTGTGATGTACTAGGAGTAATCAACCCCAAAACAGGTAGATCATCTCAAACAGTGTGCAGGATTCACTTAGACAAGCATTCCTGGAATGGCTAGGAGATCTGGAGGAGATTCAGTGTAGTGTGAAGGAGAAATCAGAACACTCCAAGCTCCTGTAGGATGTTCTACTTCAGGGTCTGTGAATATTGTATCTCCCTACAAATAAGACTAATCACCACTATAGTCCTCAAGTTCTACTCCTAGTAATTCCATATCATAATCACCTCAAATTTAATTTGCCTTGGTTGACATTTATAGCCCACCATTGCTATCTCTAAAGAACGCCTAGAGGGACCCATGCAAGGTCTACAGGTATTCTTGTCAACAAAGACAGGGGAAGGGTTGGCCTATTCTCCAAAGCACTTGAAAGAAAGACAAGAAGTAACAGATGGAAACTTATCAAGGAGAGAAGCAACCTAGAACTAAAGAGAAATTTCCTGGCAGTGAAAACAATTTATCAGTTGAATGGCTTACGTCCAGATGTTGAGGGTGCTCCATCACTGGAGGTTTTCAAGAAGAGATTGGACGGCTATTTGTCCAGAATGGTACAGGGTCTCCTGCTTGAGCATGGGGATAGATTAGAAGACCTTCAAGGTCTCCTTCCAACTCTGTTATTTTGAAAGTGCAACATGCCAAATTCCCTTTTCATTGTGTCTCATTAAGTGTATCTAATAACACATGGGACGTGATGGTTCAGTGGCTAAGACGCTGAGCTTGTCGATCAGAAAGGTCAGCAGTTCGGTGGTTCAAATCCCTAGTGCCACGTAACAGAGTGAGCTCCCGTTACTTGTCCCAGCTTCTGCCAACCTAGCAGTTCGAAAAGCACATAAAAAAATGCAAGTAGAAAAATAGGAACCACCTTTGGTGGGAAGGTAACAGCGTTCCCTGCATCTTCAGCATTTAGTCATGCCTGCCACATGACCATGGAGACATCTTGGGACAATGCTCTTCGGCTTTGAAACAGAGAGGAGCACTGCCCCCTAGTGTCGGGAACGACTAGCACATATGTGCAAAGGGAACCCTTACCTTTAATAACACATGGCAAGCAGATGGGTCATGGAATCTGCCACACCTCTGATATGACAATGTGACTGTCATTGTAGTATCTGCATATCTGGCACACCCCAGAGAAGGGAGGATGGACATCTACCTTGAGTACAGGAACCATATGGGGAAAGAGCACAGATCCTATAGTCTGGTTTTGCTCCCTTATCAATAAACATGTGATACAGGCTTTTCCATGGCTGTTATTGAAATATGATTAGATGCATGGGGAGAATGATCTTTATAATCCAGCCTATAAAAAGTACAAATACTTGCCAGGTTGATTAAAGCTGTACTTTCTAGGCAGAGACTGTAAGGAGATTGTTTTAACCATTTTAAACCCTTCCAAGTCCCTACTCTTCTAAATAACCTGCACTAAAGACTTTCAAGAACACCATGGATAGCCAAGAAAACAAACAACTAGAGCACAGAACAAAGAAATCCAGAGTTTTCATTCAAGGCACAAATAGCCAGGGTCAAATTTTGGACACATCATGCAAAAGACCTAACTCCCTTGAGAAATCCATAGTTCTGGAAAAAGAGGAAGGAAAGAGAAGAGGAGAAGCAAGTAGATGGACTTCCATTACAGTAATGATGGGTGCAACAACACTGAAAAACCACAAGGGGCAGGACTGGGACCAGTCATCCTGGAGAACGTCAAGATCTCCATGGTGGCTCAGAATGAATGGCATATATTCAATTTCTCAGTATGTACATGTATACATCCAAACTAGACTGTGTTGTTTCTCTGTGTCATATAATATATGTGGGTATATGCCAGAGATGGTATTCAGCCAGTTCTGACTGGTTCTGGTGACCGGTAGCAGAAATTTTGATTAGTTCAGAGAACCGGCAAATACCACCTCTGGCTGGCCCCGCCCCATGTATTCTCTGCCTCCCAAGTCCCAGCTGATTAGAGTCCCAGCTGATTAGAGTCCCAGCTGATTAGAGTCCCAGCTGATCGGCTGGGTCTTCTTCTGTTGCCCTGCATAGGAGAACAGGAGCTGGAAAGCAGGTTAGTGGGATAGGGAGGGAATGGGGATTTTACAGTATCCTTGCCCTGGAGTTGGATGGAAATGGGAATTTTGCAGTATCCTTCCCCTGCCATGGCCCTCAAGCCATGCACACAGAACCGGTAGTAATAATTTTTGAATCCCACCACTGGGTACGTGCATAACATTTTATTTTTTATTTATTTATATTTTTGTCATGTTTATACAGTGTATATTGGAGGCGGTGACCCTTCGAGAGCTGTATGCAATGAAATTTTATTTTAATGCATGCTGATTAGGGTACATTTAAAGCGACAGTAAAGTTATTCTAAGTCTAGTCTAATCAATCAAGAGCCTTTCATTTATAAATGAAGAGCAATTTGAATCTCATAACCAGCAGAGGGAGTCCTGCAGCTGAAACGGAGAGACTCAGCGTACAGAAAACACCTCAGCAAAGCATTGTTGGAGGCCCCGGAACAATATCGCACTGAGCTACAATGTGATTTGTTTGGTTTTGGCTTAGGAGGAGGAGGACATGCTGATCTGCAAACCAGTTGATGGATTAGCACGTTCTGTAAACCTAACCAATGTTGTCGCGTCGTAAAACAAATGCTCAAGCAAACCGAGGCTTAAATTCATGCAGGTCATTGGATCAGGAATCTCACCTTATGAAGAAAGTGCAGAAGACAAATATGATTAGGCCTACAATGCTTGGAGCATCCCACCACTGAGTTGGTTGGCCAGCCTCAGGCAGGCCTGCTGTGCTGTTCATTGCCACCCTGATCAGGAGAGTGGGATTGCAGTGTTTCTCTAGGAAAAGAAAAGAGAAATTCTATGCACGTTTCATTTCAAGTGTGACCACTGCCTGCTCCTCAAACTCTCCCAGGCTTGCTGATTGGTCAGGCCTTCCAAGGGAGCGAGGTAGAAATATTCACCCACCCACAGCACCAGGAAGAAGCTTAGCCCTCTTCTCTCTGGCCAGCATGAATCATGATCCTTTGTGAGAAAGTTTTTTTTTTCCCCAGAAGAGGGCACTATGCCTGAATTTGTAGAGAAAACTAGAGAAAAGTAATGGAAGATGTTTAAAAGTCCAAGAATCCAGGAATGTCTCTTAGAGCAGGGGTGTCAAACTCAAGGCCCGGGGGCTGAATCCGGCCCTCGGGGTGCTTCGAACTGGTCCATGGGGCCATCCTGGAAACAGCAAAGGACTGGCCCGCGGTGCCGCTGCCAGCAAAAACGGAGCTTTGGAGAGCCTCAGGCAGCCCTCGCAAGCTCTGTTTCCGCTGGCAGAGAGTTGCAGGAGGCCATTGCAGCCAAAAACAGAACTCCCAAGAAACACAGGCAGCCCTCTGGAACTCCGTTTTTGCTGGCAAAGGGTTGCAAGAGGCCATTGCAGCCAAAAACGGAGCTTGGGAACCTGTTTTTGCTGGCAGAGCACACAGGCGCCCCCAATACGAGTGACGTCGAGCTGACCACACACACCCTGCCCTCCCCAGGTCAAATACAACTCTGATGTGGCCCTCAATGAAATTGAGTTTGACACCTCTGTCTTAGAGGAATTAATTGAATTAAAAGTTCTCCCAAGAATTAATGTCATGAAAATTAGAAAAAGACAGAAAGTTGGTCAAAAGAGTCTCCACTGGGTTTTGGGGTGTTTTTTTTTAAAGGCACAAAGACTTCCAAAAAGAACAAAGCAACACTGCTTACCTGGTACGTTGGCCAAAGCTGACCAGGTGACATACATGGTGTAGAGAGTAATGATGGAGGCTTGGAGAAGGCCAGAATGAGGCTGAGCATCCTGTAGAGAAGCAAAAACTCTTGTTACGAGGAGCAAAAAAACAGATTCAGGGCAAGCGAGGGCCGAACTAGGTACAATAATGGGGGTTCCTTTGCACTATGCTACCATGATCATATTCATTGAATGCTCTAGATCAGAACAATCAAACTTGTGGCCCATGGGCTGGATGCATCACATGCTGGCCCTGCCCCCGTCTGGTTAAACGAAGGGGGGGGGAAGTCCCAATATGTCATGTGATGCTGCTGTGACAATATTATTGCTCTAGTTCAGGGTTGTCAAACTCAATTTCATTAAGGGCTGCATCAGGTTTGTGTTTGAACTTCGGCGGGCCAGGGGGCCGGCCAGGGTGGGGGTGGCCAGCTTGACACCACTAGTGTCAGGGGCACCTGTGGTGGCCCGAGTGCTCTGCCAGTGAAAACTGGCTCCTGAGCTCCCTTTTCAGCTGTGATGGCCTCCTGCAACCCTCTGCCAGCGAAAACGGAGCTTGGGAGAGGCACTGCGGGCCAATCGTTTCCTGTTTCCAGAGCAGCCCCGTGGGGCAGATCGAAGCACCCCAGGCCTTGAGTTTGACACCCCTGGTCTCGTTGCTGGCAGATAACAGTCCAAAGGATCCCCATCTACATGGAAAGAAGATGATGGCAGTGATGTCCTTTCCTATGGAACAGCCTGCTCCC